GTCTCACTGTGTTGCCCAGGCTAGAGTCAAACCCCTGGCCTCAACTGATACTGCCATCTCAGCCACCCAAAGTGCTGGGATTACAGGCATGAGCTACCATGCCAGGCCCAAAGTCATTTTCTATAAAGCAAGCCAACAAAAATATAGCTGTAGATCATTCTCATAATTTAAACTTAGATTTTATTCTTATGAATTGAATTCTAATTAACTGATTGTTTTTCTCCATTCTCTTAATTAAAAATTAATATTCAACTCCTAAACATAAAATCTATGGGCACAAAATATTCTGCATGTATGCTGTATGGTTTGAAACTTTTAAAACAGGAACTTTTCACATATTACTGCTCTATTTGGGTTTTCTAACAGACAAAAAATGTTTTTAAAACTCTAGTGATATAAAATGTCATTCCTTGATAAAAGAACCTATTACCCAGTCAAAATTTATCAAGGTAAAATTCCTTTCTAGTTCTCAGCTCGATCTTCCACGACTCTCCCTCCAGACACTCTGTGCTCCTGCCAAACCAGACTACTTGCCAGCCTCATACTTGTTCCCCCACCACAACTTTATGATTCACATTCCCCACCAGGAGAAATCCAACCAGTTCTTCAGGGTCCAGGGCAAACACTCTGCTCTCCACATCTGTTCTCCAGTCCTCTTGCCTAAGTAGAACTGATTGCTCCAGCAGCACTTAGATGCGGCCTTACTATATCATGCCTGATACACAACTATACATAAATTCGGTTTGTGTCTTCCACAGAGAGGACCCACTACTCCCTTCCACCCACCCCCTACTATAACAATTACTGAGTGCACAGTTGAAAATAACATCCATTTTAACAACATTTGGTACAGCATGATACCAACTCATTACAAAATGCAAGGAAAAAACTAAGCTTTCTCTCAGGAAAAGTAAGAAGAGCTGTCTTTCATTCCTCTCAAATTTGGAACTGCTTAATTCTTTAGTAACTGTTTCCTAATAATAACACAATACTCCTTATTTAAATGAAAACTTTCCACTGTCATTACCTATTCAGCAGTTGCTCAACAATTCTTGCAACTGTGAATGATATGCATCATCAAAAATTACTAGCTCTAAAGCCAGAGCACAGAGAAGGCGAAAGATCTTCACAAGGTCACACTGCTAATCGCAGAGGCCAAAATATCATTCTATCCACTACCTACTAACATGAAGAACTTGAACATCCGTAACTTCGAGAAAGTACCTGGTGGTGCCTGGAGCATAGTAAACACTCAAATATCTGAATTAATGAAGATGACTTAAAATGCTTTTAGTTGTGGCAGGTTTTTTGTTTTTTTTTTTTTTTTTTACAATGTAAGGCTAATTAATCCTTAATCATGCAGATCGCATTAACAAATTTACTGTGCAGTTAACGCTATAAAATAGCATGGGAACATACACACTGACAGCCAAAACTTTTGTTTTAGTATCCACAAGAGTCACTTATTCCTTCACTGGTCCCCAGAGGCCCAATAGACTAAACATTATAGCTGACCCTATTTTCTAATTTCAGCTTGCATTAAGATAACGCTTTTGTTTCATTTACAGCGCGCATGCTGCTGACACAGCTGCCCCTTCTCTGTAATAAACACAGGGCTTCTATATTTAAAAATACAGTGAAACTTTGTTATAACATCCCCTCCCCAGTCTCCAGCCAATTTTCTCTCTTCCAAGCCCCACGTTCGCCCCAGGATTTTCTTTTCTTTTTTTTTTTTTTTAAATCAACGGCGCTCAAAACATTAGACCCTTTGGAAAAATCAATTTTTTTCTTTGAAGACATCTCATCATAATGGTATTTTTCTTCTCCACAGCTCGTGTGTTTTTTAACAGGCAGAGGGGAAAAAAAGAAAGAAAAAAGATTCTTTCCCCCGAAGGCCTTCTCCTGAGTCTGGGGTACTTTTTGGGACCGCGACCAGCGCCCCGAACGTCAAGTTGGGATGGCCTCGCAGGCGGGCGCGGGCGCTGCGGGTGGGGACGCGGGTGCGCACGCGGCGGAAAGGGGCGACCGGGGGCTGCCCTGACGGGAACGCGCGCCCCCCGGGAGGCTACGGAAGGCACACCGCGTTTCCGGGGCTTGGGAGGGGAGGTCTCGTAAACACCCGGCGGACAGATAATGACAAGGACCACCAGCCCAAGCGCGGGCTCCGGGGCAGGGGCAAACGCTTCCCGCATCTCTTGGGACGAGTTAGAAAAGGGCGGCCAAGGAGGGTGTGGGCTGAAGCGGGGCGCTGGGAGGAGATAATGCTCGAGGCCAGAGTTAATCATCACCTCCCGAGCGTCTGGAAAACTACAGCCAGGGGCCTGAGGGGCGGGGGAGCAGCCCCGGGGAAAGTGAAACTCCTTCCCCGCCGACTAGCCCGGCGAGCGCGAGGCGGGAGAGGGACCCCGAGCGCGACCGGTCCTCCGCCACGCACGGCGCAGCACTCGTGGCTGGCTCCGAAAGCCGCAGGCCAGCTCACGGCACCACTAACAACAACATTAATGCTTTTTTTTTTTTCCACAAACGCACCCGGACAACGGGACAAAAAAGAGCAAGAACACTGAAAACAATAAGTTAGTCCTGCAAATCGGTTTTTCTGAATAGAAATTAAAAAAAAAAAGAAGAAAAGCCACAGCGTTCCCATACCGGGAGTCGAACCCGGGCCGCCTGGGTGAAAACCAGGAATCCTAACCGCTAGACCATATGGGAAGTGCTGTTAGACACATCGCGGAGACCCACCTGACAAACGTAAGCGCCGCTGCCGCCTTGCCTACGCTTCCCGCCGCCGCTGCCGCTGCCGCCGCCGCTGCCCCTGCTACCCACGAGCTCCGAGTGAAGGAACCAGCCGGGTCTGAGCGCGCGGGCGTCGCGGGGGAGGGGAGGGGTGGGGCGGGCCAGTTCCGCCACCGCAGGAAAGTTGTGAGGCGAACCCCAGAGACTCGCAACCCGGGAACCCGCTGTTTCACCTTTCTCTTTAAACTCCGCCAAACGGCCCCCAACCCACAGGTCCAGGGTGCTCCGCGGTTCAAAGTGCGTGCGGACTAGTTGGCAAAGTTGAGAACGGCGACGTCTCTGAGAACAGCTGTTTGCGTTCGGGGCGGAGGCGGCGCGCGAGCTCCTTGGCCACGAGCCAGCGAGCCTAGAAGGAGAGTGGAGGTTCTGGAGCCCAGGGGAGGAGAGAGAGCGGGATGGCGTGGGACTTGAGGCTTGAAGTTCCCTACTTCAGCTCAAGTCCCGTCGCGCTTTCGCCCCTTCCCGGTGACCTCAACTCCTTTATATCGACCCCACCTCTCAGGAGCCGGGAGTACCGCCCCTGTAGGGGGAGGGGACGAGGAGCCGATTCCGAACGCGGATTGGGTCGTCCGGGCACCCGTAGTGGGGAACCGTGGGCCGCTGGTCCGGGGAAGGAGGGCGGTGTCCAGCCTTGGAGGGAGTTCGAGTGGTCCTCGCGGTGGGGCGGGCCTGACTCGCCTCGCTTGGAGAGCGCGAGTCTGAGTTGGACCCCGGACGACGCGCGGAGCCGCTGGCGCAGTCATGTGAGTTGGCTCTCAGGCCCTAAACAACGAGGTGTTGTTTCTCTGGGCGGCCTTGTCTCCTCCGAGTCTTCCCTCCCCCCCTTCTCCCGCCCTTCGGCCGGGGGCGTGATGGACGCACTCTTAACTCGCTCGGGGCCGGCACCCGACCGGCAGGGCCGGTTCTGTGAGCGGGGTGGAAATACTACCCCGCGGAGCGCTTTGGGGGCGTGGAGCGCTGGTTCTAAGGTGAGAGGCCGGCGGCCAGTTGAGGTGGCGGGTCCGACTGCAGCCGATGATGCGACGCAGCGCTCCCTCCACTATCCTGTCGGGGGTCGCAGGCGCCCATTTCGGTTCGGGAGCGCCTGAACCCTGGGGGATTGTGAAACTTTGCGCTTGGGCTGCGGCCACTGCTGCCTTCGCCGCCCACTAAAAGCGGCCAGCCCGGGATAGCGGAATGACGACTTCGTTTGGGTTTTTTTGGTTTTGTTTTGTTTTTTTCCTGAGAGGTACCTTGGCTTTTCCAACTCTCTCTTGCCCTGAGGCTCAAGAACAACTTGTATTAACTGATAGTCTTGGAGGAACCACAGTCTTCCCCGGAGTAGTCTTGTCCTTTGTTCTTTTGGTGCAAATAACTCGATTAAAGGCAAACATGAGTTTCCTCCGGCCTCCATTACAGCAGCCTCCAAAAAAGCCAGAAAGGAACAGAGAGGATAAATATACTTCTCTGAGATGTTTCTTATTTCTTCTTACCTATGACAGTAACAAATAAGGAATTTTTTAAAGCTGTCTTATTTAAAGGAGTTTTATAATAGATCCGGTGCAGACTTTCTTTATGCTCCTAGCGACAGAATTTCGGTTGACTGCTTCAGCCAATTAAGTGATATAACATGGAGCTGTGTATAACAAGACAAAATTCAGTAGCAGGGGCATATATTTCAATATGTAAAGCTTGTAGAATTTTACTTTTTAATTTTACATAAGCTTAGACTTGTTTTTCCCTTTTTCAGGGCGGACTACTGGAAGTCACAACCAAAGAAATTCTGTGATTACTGCAAGTGCTGGATAGCAGACAATAGGCCTGTATGATAATTGCACTGTTAGTCTAATAATATTGTGTTCATGTGCAGTATTCCTTTTTGTTGTAAACTCAAAGTTTACAAAGCAATTTCATATACATTGCTCTTGATTTTTCAAAACATCAAAAGATTTCTGTTTTATTCCCTGTAAGAAAGCTATGAGCCTTCTTCCTTTTCATCAACCTAAATTTGATTATATTTTAAACCAAATTATTTCTCTATGACCTTTCAGGAAATGTGGAATGACTAGGTAATCTCATTCATGCTTATGAAATACCTACACTATAATGCTGTTGTTTGTAATACTGTCATACAAAGTAAAAGTGCAAAATCCTAAAAACATAAAAAGAACATTATTGTGGTTTTCTTGTATGTATTTGCTTTAGAAATAAATGTATTTGATGTAGAGCTTTATATCTTTAGATGCTTAAATTTGAAAGATCAATATACCCTCTGTCAGGAAATACAGAAGTAGCAACTGTGTTAAGTATGTTATTACTCTAGATCCAATTTTTTAAGACATAAAGCAAAAAGCCTACCACTGATTCCCCCCCTTCCTGCATTTCATTATGTACCTATTACATAAACACTAGGGTATCTATTATATGTTCATATCCTTTTTACTTGGCAGAGTTGGATACACAAAGGATAGTAGTTCCATATTTAACAGTGCTGTGGAATTCTGTGGTAGACATTTATTTACTGGAGTCTACAAGGTATTTGTGGTTTTGGGTTTTTTTTTTTTAATGCATTGTTTTGGTCTTTTTGGATAGTTGCTGAAGTTCTTGACTATATTGTTTGACTTAGGCTATCTTTTCAAATAAACACCATGAATTTTTAAAACCACACAAATCACTGAAAGTCTCTCTTCCTTGGAGGTACCCAGGCTGTAAAATGAATTTTATGAGTTATCTAGAGTAAGTAATCCCTTCCAGTGTAGTCTGTCTTCATCTACTGAGTTGCAAATACACATTGATTTAACCTTTAATTAAAAACAAAATTAATTTAATTTTGAATGGTACTTTAATATTCTTTGTGTGGTGTAATCAACTTTAAGAAGCCCAATATATGAAAAATAGAGGATGATTATTTGCTTTACAAAGTCACGCTTTAAAGAGGAATTCACAGGAGTATTTAGAATAGCTCAGTTAATGCATCATATAAGATTTGATTGACAGAACTTATTTTGCAGAGCTAACCAGGAATGTCTTACTGCAGACAACCAGACACTTGTAATTTAGTAGCATTTCTGGTTGTTTAATTAGGTAATAATGCCCACTCATCCACCCCTGTCCCCATTAATCCAGTTACCATCATTCCCCATAGGTTATCATT